TTAATGTGGGACCCGTCTGATTAGCTGCAATAATGTAGCCCTCTCCGATATATTTTTTTTTTTTGGGGGGGGGGGAGGAGAGGGCTACAACTCCTTAGGATCTCCGTAATGGTGCAAGTGCAGGAGTGATTCACTACCGCACAGATTTCGGCTCAAATTATCAGTAAGTGGGTATTTTATTAACATATCTTACCTGAACTCATAAAATGTAGTTATGCAAGACATGAAATGATCCAAAAATATACAGAACAATCCGTATATCGGTTATTTTTCGTGTATGTCAACATCACAACTTGAATTTATCCGCCATGTTTACTGACCTTGATCGATTTTATTTTGGGACAACCAATGAGAATAGCGGATCGTTGAGGATTTCCCTTATTTTAAGCATAAATATCACTGTTTATGAAAAAATATCCCATGGAATGCTTTTATTTATCGATGTTTAGTGATATCATACAACACAAACATTTATCAACACCGACATTTACTTTATCAAGTGATTTTAAATTTCAAGCGCAAGTCTCAGTGCATCACGCGAGAACTGTCATGGCTGCTGAGGAGAACGACTTTTAAACACGCAGATTTATTTTACTTGGTTTTCGCGTATAAAGGGCTATGATGGTGATAGTGAATAAAAATTTTGTCTCATTGGAAGTAAGTTGAATGCAAAAACAGTTTATTTTCCCTGCAGTCGCCCGTATCTAAAAAATATATTTGCACAATTACGGAGATGCAGTGGAATTGTAGCCCTCTCCTGAAAATATCAGATTAAAAAAAATCCGAAAGGGCTACATTATTGCAGCTACGTCTGATTGACACGTAAACATCCTAACATTTTTATCCTTAATATCTAATAATAGTGAAAAATCTGTTATTTATTAATGAAAAATATTAAAACTATAATCCAGAAAATTCAAAGTAGAATGTGAGAAAGCAAATCCAATATAAAACTGTTGTCAGTTCGTGTTCAGTGATGTGTGCAGTTAGCAAATTGAACACATCCGGTGAAAATTAACAATGACAGATCTCGTGTCCCCGTTTACAAACACAGATGTTAAACGTTATGCTATAAAGAATATCATGGTCATAGAATTAAATTTTTTCATGCAAGTTCAATTTACTAAACTGAAGTTTTTTTTAAATAAAAACAAAAATTTAAATTCTAAACAAAACAGCGATGCAACTGTGTCCAGGCCCTTTAATTATGACCTTGAGAATCTAAACATCTGAGTAGACGTTATGCTACTAGAATAGTAGAAGTTCTTAGCCTTTTGATATTTTCAGGTTGTCGGTAGTATTGTTTGAAAACGTTTGCATTAGGCCTTCTATTCCAAAGTAAAATTAAGTCTTTTAAAAAAACCTTTAAGTTTCTTTCTTTTCTTGATTTTATCCTCTTATTTCCTACCGAAAACACCATCTTCTGACAGAGGTATATAAATAAATTTACTAATGACTATCTTTCAAAGTGTATAAGCAAGAGTCCTCAGTGGCTCTTTACTCATTATTAAATGATGAAAATCCTCAATCTCCCCGTTTTATCGAGTGCTTTGAATTAATTGCATGTTGTTTTACGTCCCATTCGAGAATTTTTCACTCATTTTGAGACGTCATTATATAAGTAAAAGACTTCAGACTTAGACCTATCCTCGACACTCAGGACCTGTCGTTATTATGCCAAACGCTACCATGACGAGAAACTCAGTTTGTAAGGTCTCATCCAAAAGACCCATGACTTTCACTTCTAGTGCCTGTGAACACTTGGCGAAAAAAACAGTCAATACCTATGTTTACTTAATTTAATTTCTGCCACAATTTAAACACTCCTGTAGGACCCTCAAACGAACAATGCAACAATTCTATGATTTTCTGTTAAAGCACTACTTCTCTTACAGCTTTTGTTCGATTTCAGTAAGACTTGGTACACAATAAACTACACTAAGATAATTCTATTATCAGTTTTTGATTATGACAAACCACCTTGCATTGGTTACTAAAATAGAAATATCTATGTAATTCCTCCTCTCACAGTTTAAATCCAATTTCAGTAAGACGTGGTACACAAGTAGACTTTACCTAGATTAATAATTTTATTTATTGGTTTTTTATTTAAAAACAATCCATGTTGCCATGTATGAGTATAGTTACAATCTTTTAAAACGTTACTCCTCCTACAGTTTTGGTCATATTTCAATAAGACTTTGTACTCAGGTAGACTATCTCAAGAAGACTTTGTAATCAGGTAGATTATACCAAGATACATCTTTCTATTTTATAAGAACACCAGTAGAGCTAGAGTCTCATCAGAGACTTCTGGTTTCTTTTTTTATAACGAAGAAAGGCAGTTTTCTGAATCCAACTCAGCCTTTTCTGTGTCGTTCATAACAACAAAGATGCAAAAGTTCAACACTACACCGCATAGCTTGAAACATAATTTTTGTCCATATTGAAAGCTTTTCTTCTTGGAATATGCCTCTAAAATCGTGTGGTTAACAGTAAATGATAAAAATTCTCCGATGATATGTTCAAAATGTAACACTTTTGGTACGGAGTCATGCGAAAGTGTGGAATAATTGTTTCTTTGACAGAAGAGAAGGATTCTATCAGCATTTTTCATGGTTCAGATATGTTTTTACATTACTATTTTTACACAAAAAAATGAATAATCCACGGAATAGTGTTGAACTTTTCATTTCCATTAAGGCATATTTATTTTCTATTTATCGACGTCACATGAAGACGTCGTAGTGGAATGCTTTTTAGGCTACGACTTATTGATTTCTATGAAGTGAATAATAAGCGTAGATGTTTTTCCGTGGCTTTTCTGATTTATGAATGTTACATTTTACAAAGAAGTGTAAATTTGCCGAATAATAATTTTGGCGTTGCCTTAACTGCCTGCGGAAATGCAATTATTGACTTGGTAAAAAAAAAGGGAGGTTAAAGAAATGTATGCACATGAAGTAATTATGAATTGTTATATTCTGATTATATATTCTCACAATGAAATTGCGCTTGTAGTCTCTTGTCTTGCAGTGCTTTCAGTTCAACTATCAATTTATTTATTTGGAATGCAATAGCACAATAATTAATTCTGAAGCTCAGTGTGTGATTGGTATGAGAAAAGAAACAACACTACACACTGTCACAAAACAGTTTAAACGTATTTTTATGTATAAGTATTTTTATATTACCCGGGTCATCCTAGAGACATATTGCCATCTGTTTTTGTCTTTAGTCCTGCGTCAACTGTGGTTCGTCGTGTGGTTTTTGTCGAGAGTTGATAATAATCCTTTGAACATTTTCAGCTTGTTCTTTGGAACCAATATCAACCTTTTTTTTTTTCATTATATGATAAAGCATAGATGGGTTATGGGAACAAACCTTTTTTGTTTTGAACACGAAGTGAATAAAATATATTACATCTTAGAAATTTTTCTTCCCTACTTATTAACATTCAGGCAAACTATTTCTACGTGATATCATGATAAACTCTTAATTAGCTCTCTACCAATAGGGTGAAATTCATTGCTCCTTGATTCAGGGTTTGACCTCTAGGTTGGGCTTCGTTCAACTTGGTAATACATCAATTGCAAATCCATTACGCACTTGAATATCTTCTTTATACTTATTGACATCTTTCAGGCAAACTGCTTGTGTAGTTACAATGAATGCGTATTTCCACTGTGAAATTAATAGTTCCTGAATCTATTGTACAGTGCACTTAGGGAAATTTTCTGAAGTCATTGATACATGTAACTAGCTAAAAACTGTTTGCATGATTATAACACTACCAAAATTGTGAAATTCTGTACCTTGCCCATCATTCAGATATGTGAGTGTTCAGCTAAGTTGGTCATTTATCAAAAGTACATTTCTTCCTTTGAAATCTTTTCCAATTGTTCATGGATAGATAGATAGATAGATAGATAGATAGATAGATAGATAGATAGATAGATAGATAGCAGACAACTAGTTTGTATGGCTTTAATGATTAGAAACCCTCTACAAAACTTTAAAACTCATATCCTTCAGATTCAGGGGTTAGGACCTAATGTAATCAAAACATATTGATACATATATCATAACTTTACTTCTGAACTTCAAGAAGTATGATCATGATCTTAAAGTGTTCAGCAAGCTGAAAACTATTATTACATGAGTAAAGAGTGTCAGTTCAAGATACAGTGAAAGTGTTTATAGATTGAGAAAATCACGATACTCGGGTGTTCGCAAAGGTCCATTTGCCACTTGTACTATAGATTCCAGTTGTCCAAGTAAGATATCAAAAGGCCACCTCATAAATTGTCAGTCAAATATTGGAGAAATATGTCGGTATCAATGTGACATTCCTTTTGAAATCAATCCATCTGCTCCAAATGTTACATGCAAGGGAAGTGGAGAATGGAGTCATGATACCACGGATCTTTGTGGTGAGTTTGTTTTGTAAAAACATAGTACTGAAAAGAGATAGGAACCGTTTTCCCCTTTTAAAATGAATCCATCTGTTCTAAACATAAGTTGCATCTAAAACAAAGATAGAGTTGTGATACAAATGTTTGTGGCAATCTTTTTATCCAAAATGTCATGATGAGGAGAACAATTACTAGTACACGAAAAATGCATTGAAAAATTAAACACGATTTCATTTTTAACAAATACTGAACTGTTTATTTTCAGTACGATTATGTCCAAAAACAATCCAAAATGGAAACCTGGCTCCAGGTTGCCGACGGCATATTGGAAGCAGCTGCTCATTTACATGTGTCACTGACTATATATCTTCTATTTCTTCTCAAAATATTTTCTGTACCTCAGAGAGCATTTGGAATGAAAACATAGAAGAATTATGCAAACGTAAGACATTTTTATATGATTTAGCTTTTTTATTTTTTATTTTTTTGTTTATAACATCACATGTATAATAACATCACATGTATAATGGTCTCTCGGGTGGGTTTTATTAACTTATTCATTCAAAAAATAACATTCTTTTGCAGAAATACGCTGTCCACTTGAAATACCCAATGGAAATTTCTCTTTGCTATGCCAAGGATCTGTCGGAGAGAAATGCAAAGTTGACTGTCATGGACAATTGAAAACAAATTCTTTACATTTAGTTTGTACCTCCTCTGGAGAATGGGACAAAGATACAGATCGTATCTGTGTACAAAATAGTTATCGTAAGTTAATTATAGCATATGATTCCTCACAATTTAGAACTCTAAAGAATTTACAGTGAAAAAAAACGATAAACAATGTTCTTTGCTGCAATATATATCATTTTCTTCAAATTTGTTAAAAATAATGTAATATGGGAACAGGATTTGTCTAAAAGTTTTTCATCAAGTTTGCAAGATGTGATTTTAATATAAAAAAGAGCAATTGATAAACAAATGTAATGAATTAATATCGTTTATTAATAAGATAATAGAGTAATGATGCTAAAACAGGAAAATGCAATATTAAGTATCTTGAAAGGACTCCTTTCTTTATTTTATTTTTTTTTTTTTCGAAATCACAATTCTACGGATATTTCGTAGAATTTTGACAAATTTTGTTTTATCGTCCTGGACATGTATATATATATATATATATATATATATATATATATATATATATATATATATATATATATATATATATATATATATATATATATATAAAATTAAAGAGGTCCTTGGTATAGGTAGTAATACAGAAAAAATAATTAAGATTTCGTAGAAGATGGCACTTTAATCCATAGCGCTTTCGCCTCTTGGCTCTTCAGTGGATTTTGAATATTGACAATAACAATAGCAACTTGACATAATAACGTCGTTATTATGACGTCATAGTTAAAAGACAACGTCAAAAGTTGGCGCAAAAAATGTCCGAAGAAAGCGCCAAAATAAATAGACTTGTCACTATAAATGATACATGTTTACACAATAATGATCAATAATTATAATGAAAAAACAATATTAAAAGTCATAGATGCAGTCAGAATAATTATCTGTTAAGTTTAGGCTTAAATGTATCAATGAAATATTGTTCTTTGGCCCGCCGTAACTGTTCATTTTCCTGTGTAACTTTGTAGAATGGAAAGATACTAAACAATCCCTTGCCGCATTGGTCAAAGTGCTCGCTGCACGGAGTATTCCAAACGGATGGGTCCCGTATATGCTGCTTATGTACTCTTACACGGTCCGATATTTTATTTCCTGTTTGTCCAATGTAATGTTCTCCGCAACCACTGCAGGTCATGCAATATATGACGTTCTTTGATTTACAGTTAATGTTATGTTGAACTTTAAAAATTCATTCCGTTTTTGAATGTGATTGATTTTCCGATTTGTAGGAAATCGCAAGTTCCACAGCGCGGATCGTCACATTTGGAAACCATAAATGTTTCTTTTGAAGAAGTGAATTTGGCTTTTGTGAGGATTTTCTTCAAATTTGGTGGCTGCCTTCTACTATAAATTAAATCCTTCTCCTTAATAAGGTCGTTCAGATTTTTTGATTGTAGAAGTATTGGCAAACACTGTTTCGTTGTTTTGAAGATGTTATGATTTTTTGGATTATGAGTGATAACAAATGGAATTTCGATTTGTATATTTCCGGGTTCATTCTTTCTGTTTACTTTCCGAAGTTCTGTTATTGGGATTGATTTGGCCTGCTTTATCGCTTCGGCTATAAGGTTGTGCGGATATTTTTGGCGGCGTAGGAAAACACTCAATTCTTCTAATCTTTTCGTCCTACGTTTTCATCCGTAACTATTGTGCATATTCTTCTTGCCAAATTGAATGGTATATTCCGTTTAGTATGTGAAGGGTGGCAGGAATTAAAAAGAAGATACTGATGACTGTCAGTTTCCTTGTAGAATAAATCTGTAGAAATGTTGGTGTTTTCCTTAATGATAAGTATGTCCAAAAAGGCAAGTTCTCTTTGACTGGTTTCGATAGTAAATTTGATGTTTCCATGTAATCTATTAAGTAAACAGTGGAATTCCATTAATTCTCTTTCAGATTTGTTCCAAAAAATAAAACAGTCGTCTAGATAACGCTTCCATTGATGTCTTATATAATTGGAAAATTCCAATCCGAAAACTTTCTCGGTTTCAGTGTACATCTTTTCTTCAAGGAATCCTAATACTAGCGTAGCGTAAGTTGGGGCTACCTTCGTGCCCATTGCAGTATCTTTTACTTGTAAAAAGTACCTGTGATCAAAAAAGAAATCATTGTTCTCAAGAACCAGTTGTAATCCTTCTAAAATAAAATCTTTAGAGAATCTAGGGTCTATCTGGTTTTCATGTTTATCAACCCAGAATGATATGGCCTCTAGTCCCAAAGTGTGTGGTATATTTGTATACAAGTTGGTCACATCAAAGCTTACCAAAATAGCATTTTCCTCAACGTTTTTAGGGATGTGGTGTAGAAAGTCCATATCGTCACGGATAAAACTTGGTACTAGCTTACAAAGAACATTACATTGGACAAACAGGAAATAAAATATTGGACCGTGTAAGAGTACATAAGTAGCATATACGGGACCCATCCGTTCGGAATACTCCGTGCAGCGAGCACTTTGACCAATGCGGCAAGGGATTGTTTAGTATCTTTCCATTCTACAAAGTTACACAGGAAAATGAACAGTTACGGCGGGCCAAAGAACAATATTTCATTGATACATTTAAGCCTAAACTTAACAGATAATTATTCTGACTGCATCTATGACTTTTAATATTGTTTTTATATTATAATTATTGATCATTATTGTGTAAACATGTATCATTTATAGTGACAAGTCTATTTATTTTGGCGCTTTCTTCGGACATTTTTTGCGCCAACTTTTGACGTTGTCTTTTAACTATGACGTCATAATAACGACGTTATTATGTCAAGTTGCTATTGTTATTGTCAATATTCAAAATCCACTGAAGAGCCAAGAGGCGAAAGCGCTATGGATTAAAGTGCCATCTTCTACGAAATCTTAATCATTATTATTATTATATATATATATATATATATATATATATATATATATATATATATATATATATATATATATATATATATATATATATATATATATATATATATATAACCTTTAAGGATGATCTGACGATTACTATTTTAAAAATGTGTCAAAAAAATAAATAAAAATACTTATCATTCCGCATGGAAACATGACAGAATTAAATTCCAAAGTTCATTGTCAAACTTTAAAACTAAGTTTGCATTACTATGAAAGCTTATTAATACAGTCTCGTGTCAAAAGTATTCTTAAAAACATGGCGTCGCTCAGGTTGAAATTCGGTAACGGGTTTGTTTTAGACATCGTTTTCAGAAACGAAAGTAGAGTTATCTCTCTTACTCCATATCTAACTTCACTGGGAGAGACATTTATCACGTGATTGGTTGATAACGTATTATATCGTCTGCATTAGTTACTTTCGGACTGTAAACAACCATGGTTAGAAAGGGGAAGGAATTATATTTGGAAGAGAAACAGTCGATTTTATCACTTAGAAAAGCAAGTTTGACACTACAAGAAATATCGGATATTTTTGGAAGGCCATTATCAACAGTCCATACATTTTTGAAGCGTCAGGGAACAACTGGAGATGTTGAAAACAAACCAAGAAGTGGCCGACCCCCAAAATGCAGTACACAGGATGAGCGACAAATTTTTCGGATGGTGAAAATGAATCGCAGGCAAAGTTTAACAGAATTAACGAATGTTAGAAATGAAATTGGTCCTGGAACTGTCTCAGAAAGCACTGTGAAAATAATTTTAAATCGAGATGGATACAGAAGGAGAATTGTAAAGAAGAAAATGCGTGTGCGCGAAGTGAATAAAACAAAGCGTGTGAAATGGTGCAAAGAAGAGAACTGTGGATGACTACTGGAAAAAAGTAATTTTTACAGATGAATGTAAGGTTTTGATCGATGGCGAACGACGTATATATGTATGGAGAAAAGCCGGAGAGGAATGTGACCCACCTTGTATTGACCAATAGATAGTTTTCAGTAGGCCCAAATTAGCGAGAGTTATTTCCCGTTGGCCGCCATATTGGAGGTCAACATGTTCATATTCCTTCATTATTCAATCAACTTTAACTTTTTATACTGGCCATTGTGGGGTAGGAAGGATTGTTTTTCTGAAAAAAATACATTTGTTAAAGCCTCCTTTATTTCATTCTTTTTTATTCTATAAAGATTTTTACCCAAATATTTCTGCTACACCCTCTTAGATTTGGTAAGACAAAGAGGAAAAATTACCATGTTGACCACCAAGAAGGCGGCCAAGGGAAATAACTCGGAGAGAAAATATGTCATATGAAAACTATCTATTGACCACCCGCCGGGCGACGTTTGGATTTAATGATCTGGGGATGCATTACTTTCAATGGAGTCGGCACATTTTGTGTTGAAGATGGGAACATAAATGCTCAGAAATATACAGAGATAATTGACAATCATCTTTGGCCCGTCTTTGCAGCACATTTTCCATCAAATGATTACCTATTTCAAGATAACAATGCCCCCGTTCATAGGGCCAGGTCTGTGAAGGAATTTATGGAACAAGAGAATATTCCGACGATGGAATGACCTGCTTAAAGCCCTGACTTGAATATGATTGAAAACTGTTGGCGAAAACTTAAACAGGAACTTTGTAAAAGGGTACAGAATTTGAGAATCGCAAATAACCATGAAACGGCCATACAACAGGTATTGGAAAATATCCATCCTAACTTCATCCAGGACCTTTACAGGAGCATTCCACGCAGAATCCAAGCAGTAATAAAGGCTAAGTGTCTCACAAAATACTGAGATAAGATTAAACTTTTAAAATAATGTAGACTGAAGAAAAACATTGATAACTTAGTTTTGTTTACATCGCCGCCATTTTGTTTGTACGAATACTTTTGACACGAGACTATCTTGAAGGGAAAAACATATTTATTCATGTACATCGAATTTTTAGAGGACATTGAGTTTATAATCTTATTTTTAGGGGGATGCATGGAGTATAAACATAATTCCTTAATAAAGCACAGAATATGTAACATTCTTAAGATAGCAAAAGTATGATTTTAAGTTGTCATGCTGTATTCAAATGCAAATTGAAATGCGTGTATTACAAATCTTAGATGAGATGATTTGTTTCATTTTAAGAACGCGCATCCAAAGAAGAGGATAAAACAGGTCTTTACGCCGCGGTATCGATTGCAGTTATAATAGTTTGTGTGAATATATTAATCGTGACTGTCTGCTGCATCAAAAGAAGGAACTCCCCTAGGTAAGTATAAGAAATGTCAATTGCCGTCAAACGTATTTTCTGCACATCGATCGCGACTTTATAAACTAGCATGCTGAGAAATTATACAATGAATTTTTTTAAAAATGTCATATAGGTTTGCACATTATTTCAAAGAATATACACAAACATCATGAAAATTACATCACAACGAAAAAGAGCTATAAAATGTTACAAACGTAAATTCAAAATTTGCAGGAGAATTAGACGAATACATAACACTACTGGACTTAAAATTCCCTGATATTCTGAAAAATCTCTGATAAACTCTGATATCCACTGTTTAAGTACTGCTTTTCTCTGTATAAACACTGTACAGTCACTGTACAAAATCCCAGTACCTACTGTAATCCCCAGTAAATCACAGTACAAACCCACTGTTATTTTCTATACATCCCTGTACTTTATTGTACGTCCCCTCTGTACGGCCCGGTACACCACTGTCTGTCCTTGTACGCCTCGACAGTACAGCACTGTACATCACAGACGTGTACAGTACTCAACTTCTATACAGCACAGTACACTACTGTTGCTCACTGTACGCGTCCCAGACTGGCACTGTACATCACTGAAGTTCAATGTACGCATCCAAGTTTGGCACTGTACATCACTGAACCATACTGCGAATATTTTAGACGTAATAAATGAATGAAATTTAACTTTTGAATTTTATTAAATTTTATTCTTCTCTCGGTACATCTCTCATTGTTCAGAAGCCTTTGGTATTTTAGATTTAAGCGAATAAAATGTTTATTTCAAGAGTGATAAATTTGTGCTGTTAGTACACTTAACATACACTAGCACCATATATAAAAAAAGTAAAAAATAAATCCTATAAATTATATTTAAGATCATTTAATTGATAATTATGATTCCTCTAGTCTTATATTTTATAATTATCATTCATAGTATTGAACAAATTTAACGTCACATTGTCATTTTCCATAGTTCGATAATGCGGTTAACAACCTGATTTGGTAGGCAAAGTTACATGTTAAGAAAAATTTTAAAACATTAGTATATTATATATTTTTAAAATATTTTTTCTTTAAAAATTAACTCTTTCTCTCACTCATGCATTTACC